TTGAGACTGTGGTTGGCACCGCTCTTCTCGACTGTGGTTGGCGCCGCATCTGGAGACTGTGGTTAGCACCGCTCCTGGAGACTGTGGTTGGCGCCGCTACTGGAGACCGTGGTTGGCGCCGCTCCTGGAGACTGTGGTTGGCGCCGCTCCTGGAGACTGTGGTTGGCGCCGCTCCTGGAGACAATGGTTGGCGCCGCTCCTGGAGACTATGGTTGGCGCCGCTCCTCAAGACTGTGGTTGGTGCTGCTCCTGGAGACTGTGGTTGGCGCCGCTCCTGGAGACAGTGGTTGGCGCCGCTCCTCGAGACTGAGGTTGGCTCCGCTCCTCGAGACTGTGGTTGGCGCCGCTTCCCGAGACTGTGGTTGGCGCCGCTCCTCGAGATTGTGGTTGGCGCCGCTCCATGAGACTGTGATTGGCGCCTCTCCTCGAGACTGTGGTTGGCGCCGCTCCTGGAGACTGTGGTTGGCGCCGCTTCTGGAGACTGGTTGGCGCCGCTCCTGGAGACTGTGGTTGGCGCCACTCCTTGAGACTGTGGTTAGCGCCGCTCCTCGAGACTGTGGTTGGCGCCGCTCCTGGAGACTGTGGCTAGCGCCACTCTTGGAGACTGAGGTTGGCGCCGCTCCTTAAGACTGTAGTTGGCTCAGCTCCTCGAGACTGAGGTTGGCGCCAATCTTGGCACTGTGGTTGCCGGCGCTCCCGGTGACTGTGCTTGGCGCCGCTCCAGGAGACTGTGGTTGGTGCCGCTCCTGGAGACTGTGGTTGGTGCCACTCCTGGAGACTGAGGTTGGCGCCGCTCCTGGAGACTGTGGTTGGCGCCGGTCCTGGAGACTGTGGTTGGTGCCGCTCCTGGAGACTGTGGTTGGTGCCACTCCTGGAGACTGAGGTTGGCGCCGCTCCTGGCACTGTGGTTGGCGCCGCTCTTGGAGACTGTGGTTGACGCCTCTCCTGGAGACTGTGGTGTGCGCTGCTCCTGGAGACTGTGGTTCGCGCTGCTCCTGGAGACTATGGTTGGCGCCGCTCCTGGAGACTATGGTTGGCGCCGCTCTTGGAGACTATGGTTGGCGCCGCTCCTGTAGACTGTGGTTGGCGCCGCTCCTGTAGACTGTGGTTGGTGCCGCTCCTGGAGACTGTGATTGGCGAAGCTCCTGGAGACTGTGGTTGTCGCCGCTCCTGGAAACTGTGATTGGCGCTGCTCTAGTAGACTGTGGTTGGTGCCGCTCTTCGAGACTGAGGTTGGCGGTGCTCCTGGAGACTGTGGTTGGCACCGCTCCTGGAGACTATGGTTGGCGCCGCTCCTGGAGACTGAGGTTGGCGCCGCTCCTCGAGACTGTGGTTGGCGCAGCTTCCCGAGACTGAGTTTGGCGCCGCTCCTCGAGACCGTGGTTGGCGCTGCTCCTGGAGACTGAGGTTGTCGCCGCTCCAGGAGACTGAGGTTGGCGCCGCTCCTGGAGACTATTGTTGGCGCCGCTCCTGGAGACTGAGGTTGGCGCTGCTCATGGAGACTGTGGTCGGTGCCACTCCTGGAGACTGAGGTTGGCGCCGCTCCTGGAGACTAAAGGTGGCTCCGCTCCTCGAGACTATTGTTGTCTCCCGCTCGTGGAGACTGTGGTTGGCGCCGCTCCTGGAGACTGAGGTTGGCGCCGCTCCTGGAGACTGAGGTTGGCGCCGCTCCTCGAGACCGTGGTTGGCGCCGCTCCTCGAGACTGTGGTTGGCGCCGCACATGGAGACTGTGGTTGGGACCGCTCCTGGAGACTGATGCTAGCGCCGCTCCTGGAGACTGAGGTTGGCGCCGCTCCTCTAGACTGTGGTTGGCACAGCTCCTAAAGACTGTGGTTGGCGCCGCTCCTGGATACTGAGGTTGGCTACGCTCCTCGAGACTGTGGTTGGGGCCGCTCTTGGAGACTGAGGTTGGCGCCTCTCTTGGAGACTGTTGTTGGCACCGCTCCAGGAGACTGTGGTTGCCGCCGCTCCTGTAGACTGTGGTTGGCGCCGCTCCTGGAGATTGTGGTTGGGGCAGCTCCTGGAGACTGTGGTTGGCGCCGCTCCTGGAGACTAAAGTTGGCTCCGCTCCTCGAGACTTTTGTTGACTTCGCCCCTGGAGACTGTGGTTGGAGCAGCTCCTGGAGACTGAGGTTGGCGCCTCTCTTGGAGACTGTGGTTTGCACCTTTCTTAGAGACTCAGGTTGGCGCCGCTCCTGGAGACTGTGGTTGGCGCTGCAACTGGAGACTGTGGTTGGCGCCGCTCCTGGTCCTGTGGTTGGCGCCGCTCCTCGAGACCGTGGTTGGCGCCGCTCCTCGAGACTGTGGTTGGCGACCGCATCTGAAGACTGAGGTTGGCGCCGCTCCTGGAGACTATTGTTGAATCCGCACCTGGAGACTGTGGTTGGCGCCGCTCCTGGAGACTGTGCTTGGCGCCGCTCCTGGAGACTGAGGTTGGCTCCGCTCCTCGAGACTGTGGTTGGCGCCGCTCCTTGAGACTGTGGTTGGCGCCGCTCCTGGAGACTGGTTGGCGCCGCTCCTAGAGACTGTGGTTGGCGCCGCTCCTGGCACTGTGGTTGGCGCCGCTCCTGGAGACTGAGGTTGGCGCCGCTCCTGGCACTTTGGTTGGCGCAGCTCTTGGAGACTGTGGTTGACGCCTCTCCTGGAGACTGTGGTGTGCGCTGCTCCTGGAGACTGTGGTTCGCGCTGCTCCTGGAGACTATGGTTGGCGCCGCTCCTGGAGACTATGGTTGGCGCCGCTCCTGTAGACTGTGGTTGGCGCCGCTCCTGGAGACTGTGATTGGCGCCGCTCCTGGAGACTGTGGTTGTCGCCGCTCCTAGAAACTGTGATTGGCGCTGCTCTAGTAGACTGTGGTTGGCGCCGCTCCTGGCACTGTGGTTGGAGCCGCTCTTCGAGACTGAGGTTGGCGGTGCTCCTGGAGACTTTGGTTGACGCCGCTCCTGGAGACTGTGGTTGGCACCGCTCCTGGAGACTATGGTTGGCGCCGCTCCTGGAGATTGTCGTTGGCACCGCTCCTGGCACCGTGATTGGCGCCGCTCTTTGATACTGTGGTTGGTACTGCTCCCGAAGTCTGTGGTTGATGCCATTCTTGGAGACTGTGGTTGGCATCGCTCCTGGAGACTATGGTTGACGCCGCTCCTGAAGAATGTGGTTTGCGCCGCTGCTGGCACTGTGATTGGCGCCGCTCTTCGATACTGTGGTTGGTACTGCTCCTGAAGACTGTGGTTGACGCCATTCTTGGAGACTGGTTGTCACCGCTCCTGGAGACTGTAGGTGGAGTTTGATTGCTCGCTGCTCAGATCAAAGGGTTCAGGAGCTTATTACACCTTAATACCTATTTATGTAATTAATCTGAAATCAATTATTCTCAAATAAAATTCCTCTGGATTCATATAAGTGCCTATGAGACTTAAGGTTGGAAGCAACACTAATTAGACGTGTCTGTGATCGTCATTATATTATCTTTATTTTGGGAGGAATTCTTCCGTTTTCTCAAGGATTATCAGGACTTTTAAAACCCTTGTACAGGATTAATTGTTATTTCTTATATAAAGAGACTCGAGGCTCGGCTTCGATTCATGCAGGTCGGCGTGCAATCCCTGACCGTCCAAGTGGCTGTGCACCATTCTTTTCCCATCCCAAATCCTTATCCTGACCCCATCCAAGTGCTGTATAGTCGTAATGGCTTGGCGCTTTTCTCTAATAATTCCCTTACCCTCTAGTGATTACAGAGTTTATTTTATTGAGTATTCACGAGGGAGTATAACCACGTAGATCTTCACACAGGTCAACTCTAGTGTGCTGGCATTTTAGTGTAACTGATGTTACCCCGAAGGCCAAGGCGACCAGTTACTAATACAGAGAATAATGTAATGTTAAGCTCACTAAGAATTTATTTCTATTAAAGTTTACTCGCTAGTATCCAATGCTGTGATTTAATTTATCATCAATGTATTAAATGTAAAGGCCATACATTTGGTGCTGGAGGAAATTATACAAGTGTATTAGAGAGGGATCTGGACAGTATTGCCATTTTGTGTTTCAAATTTTAATGTGTTGCTATATCTTGAGATGATTTCGGGGCTTAGCGTCCCCGCGGCCCGGTCCTCGACCAGGCCTCCTTTTTGTTACACCCCCCCATAGCAGCTGTCTAACTCTCAGGTGCCTATTTACTGCTAGATAACAGAGGTATCACGGTGAAAGAAACATTTTGCCCATTTGTCTCCGCCTCCACCGGGGATCGAACCCGGAACCTCAAGACTACAAATCCAAAGCGCTGTCCATCCGGCTGTGAGGCGCCCTAACGCCTGACAGCTGGGTGGATGTTATGAGCCTTGCTCTTGTGTTATTACCCAGCTTTTATGCTTTTGTGTTATGGACTAATGAGCCCAGCTTTTATGCTATGGCCTTTATGCCATAACATAAAAGTCATCAGAATTGTGTTGGGCACAAGCAGATGTAAGTACTGACTCAGTAAACATATTGTACTGTTTACCATTGTGTTTGGTATTAAGTCCCATCTTCATTTTGTTAACTGTTTACCTGGGCTTATAAAACAAATAAATAAATGTTTATTCAGGTAAAATTACAAACAATCGAAATGAGTTACAAACAGAATGTTGGATTTTTAGATAGCTAGTACATACTGTGCCTAAAGTCACTAATACACACAGAGTTTCGGGCAAAGTATGTGTATAAATACCAACATTTAAGCTTGAGCTGGAACCAAGTACCACCACGTTGTGGAAGTTTTCTTGGCAGCTGTAGGGGAGCTGGCAACCTCTGAGAGAGAGAGAGAGAGTTATTTGTGAGGGCTTGGCCGAGGGTAGTGAGCCCTGTTCTTGACTGTCGTGATGAGACTGCGGCCCGGGGGATCCTTGGCCTTACACCACTCCTCACGGAGTACAAGGGTATCCTTCTCATTCAGGTTATGGAGTGTGCAGCTGCCTCATAACAACCTTTACGAGTAACAACTTAACAAGGGTGTTCCTCCATCAGGTGACGGGGTACGTGCTGCTGTACCGGTTGTCCCATCTGCAGACGCTGCGTGACCTGCTCCCGCGCCTCTCCGTAATCAGGGGAGACTCCCTCTTCCACGGCCACGCCCTCGTCGTCTTCGGTAACACATACCTTCGAGAGGTCAGTCATTACGGTGCTCGTAAGCTATGTTTCTAAGCACAAACAAAATAATTTTAGTACAAAGCCACTCCAGACCGACAACCAGAGCGCAACTCCATAGTCTCCTGAGACTGATGGATGCCTACTACTTTAGTACAAAATAGAAGGAAGATGATTGAGATCCACCATAAACACCCAACTGTGAAGAGGATGGACCAAGAGCTATTCCTTCCTGCGCTCAAACACTCAAACAGGTAATACAAAATACTCACATATTTAGTTACTCACAAACATGCTTCAGCACTCAGTGGATAAAGTGCGCTTGATTTTATCAGGTTAAGACCAGCACTGGATGGATGACCCCGTGGAATGCCTCGTCCATGGCTGGTGGGAGGTAAGCCTTCGTGTCCCTGAGAGTGGTAAACCCTAAAATATATACAAATGTAAACATGCCTTTCTAAACTCGTTAATGTATACACATACACACAGTGTACTCACACAAACATACACAAGAATACGCATGAATTCCTACACACAGTAATTCACATGATATCATACACACAGTAATACACATGAATTCATACACATACACATCTTTAGCTCTTTATTTAGTATTTTATCTAATTCTTTCTACTGCATGTGCATTTGCTCCTATATCTTCCTTTGCCACCATGCTTCCCACCATCCTCCCTTCCCACGACAATACACCGCAAAACCGATCTAAAAAAAGGCAGAGGATGCCGATGGCATAGAAACCAAAAGGAGCCTAAAAATCAGAAGCACAAATGCTGATGGGGTATCAAATAAAACATTTGATACAACAGTCATAACTGATGTAGTACTTTCCAGGGGGGGAGGACCAATTTCTGAGAAAGTCAAGATTTGGAAGAGGAGATTTTAAAGTAGTTTTTTAAAAACAAAACAAAAACATATATTTCCAGAAGCTTGTAGTACAAAACATAAGTTTTACGGTACTAGGAGTCACACAGGTACGGTTGGATCCCATACTAATAATGGATAGCTGAGGAACACATGAGGGTCCTTGAGGGTCTCTTCTCAGGCTAGCCTCACCTGGTCCTGCTTCACGGTGATCGTTGGAATCTCCTCAATGATTTAACACTTTCAAGGACTCCTAGGGTCCTCATCACATTTATAGTTTAGTGGATATAGGCAACTCGGTGTTAAAGACACCTAGAGCTGAAGGCTTGAGTAAATAATTGGCAGTACTCAGAAGTGGTTCAACGAAAAAAACGCATAAAGCTTAATAGTAGTTTATTTACTAACTTAACCACTAATACAATGGGTGCTTGATTTACTTTAGATTGGTGTCAAAAAGGCTATGGTTGCATTAGCGAGACTCTTGACGTCTGGCTAAATGATTCGGATCCACTTGTGGAGTAACACTTAACACAATTGACAGCCAATCATTAACACGGCAACCTAACTGCCGGAATGCAGAGGGATAACAAGAGTTCCAACCGGATACTCGGGTAATGATGATATGCAATAAATCACATATGTACTGTCAATGGGACAGGCAATAACATGCACAATAATACCACACAATACTAAATGTGTGGTGTATGTGAAGCTCACATTCACAGACGTATGTATGTATAACCGACAAATGCACACACTCTGGCACTGGCGGTGAGTAAGGGTGGTGACGCCACGTGGTACCGTGAGGCAGGGTGGCTTGAGGTACTCGAAGTACTGAGGTACTAGCTACACGCTCTGGACTGAGTTGCAGCTGGCTACTGCAGGTTATATGATACCATGTGGCACACTGTGGTAAAAGTCACACACAGATTACTTAGGCGGCGGCACTGCCTTAGTTTACTCTAGGTCACTCACAGACGATTTCCACTTGTCACCAGGTGTTTACCTGATACCAGTCTGTTTTGCTCTGGTGATTTGTCACTAGGCTTCTGAACAATATATTCACAGTCGCGATTCCGGGCGAGTGTTGGTATATCGAAAAGATGCTGAGTTTAACTTGATGGTGAGGAATGGACGGTGTTCAGTCTATTGGCTGATAGACAGAACAGGACACGTCCTCTGTGTAAGGGCTTCCTCATGAGAATGCTCTTGCCTGGGGCTCAGGGCATCTCGTGAGGCACAACACAAGGCATTACAATTTGACCAATAGCATTGCAGCAAATGAGCAGGAACCAAACATTTTGGTCGTTCCCTGATCAGTAGTAGAGGTGACGTCATGCACACATCACGACCACGTCACAACTGTTATTCTCCATTGTGCCAGTTGAGGTTGACCTCAGGGGTCAGACTGTCTCCTCGCAGGCATCTCCCCTCTCTCTCACACTTCGCACTAGCCAAAGTACTCATTGACCCAATGGCCAGTAACTTAACTTCCCTGTATCTACTTCCTGCCTGGACATACGGCGGCCTCCGTATTAAAAACGTGGTCCTGGTTAAGTGGGCATAAGTTAAATGGGCTAAACTATTGGGACCGACTAAAGAGCCTAAATCTGTACTCCCTTGAGTGCAGGCGGGAGAGATACATAATAATTTACACGTGGAAAATATTAGAGGGGCTTGTCCCAAACCTGCACACAGAAATAACATCACATGAGACCAGAAGACATGGCAGGATGTGCAGAATACCCCCGTTGAAAAGCAGAGGTGCAACAGGTACTCTGAGAGAGAAGTCTATCAACATCAGAGGCCCGAGACTGTTCAACACGCTTCCGCTATACATAAGGGGCATAACTGGCAAATCCCTCACAGTGTTCAAGAGAGAACTGGATAAGCACCTCCAAACGATACCTGATCAACCAGGCTGTGACTCATACGTCAGGCTGCGAGCAGCTGCGTCCAACAGCCTGGTTGATCAGTCCAACAACCAGGAGGCCTTGTCGATAGTAATCTTGGGCATAGCAAAGAATGAGGTGATTTGGTAAAATGCTATGCCCAAGATTACTATCCGAGTGCCGGCGGTGGGGTGGTTCAAATAGCCTCGGCTATCACCTCATTATGTCCGGTCGTGATGGTTAAGTGGATTAAGGCGTCTTGTACATACCAGTTGCGTTGCTCCTGGGAGTATGGGTTCGAGTCACTTCTGGGGTGTGAGTTTTCAGTTGCATATTGTCCTGGGGACCATATATATATATATATATATATATATATATATATATATATATATATATATATATATATATATATATATATATATATATATATATATTGTGACAATAATCTCCTTCAAGAGATTGAGCCTGCTCTTCCCTCCACAAACACGTCGTTGAAATTATATAAAACGACTATGGAAGACATGTCCAACAACAACAACAACACCAGCAAGGCTTGCCAGGGTGAGCAAAACGTATGCAGCCAGCCACCTGTTCGGACTCAAACCACCAAACTACATGTTGATCGCTACCGGCTCCGCTGATTGGTCGCCGGTCTGGCTGCACCTGCACTCGCCCCCCCATACTACTTGATGTCTGGGGTCGCCCCAACCTCCTACCTCAGAATGTTCAGTGCTCTCGTTGTCACCACTCCTCCCGGCTAGACGCTAGCGTGTACTGAGAGAAGTGGTGGCTTAAAGCCAATATTCCAGCACCTCCCATTTACTTGTATATTGCACTTCTTGTTATTTTGTCTTAACGTAACTTTTCATTGTGTCATTTAAGTATTCTTATTATTTTGATTGATTTTATTATAAGAATTTGTTTGTGCATTTTATTCATGTTTTGATTTAATTAACGTAATTAAAATTTCATTGTTAAAGTTTACTTGTGTTTTGTGTGTCTTCTCCTTACCTTACCACAGACGAAGTTCCAGTTTTTTCTATTTTTTTTTATAACTATGTGACGAGGCCATACCCCTAGCCTTAAACAGCCGAACACCAACGCGTTACCGTCACAAGTTATATGGGGGCCTGTCCTAGGAGCTTCACTCAGGTACTGGTGCCAAGTGGTAATTTATGGTAAGCGTATTTAACTTTGTTAACGTAGCTTTACTATTTTTCATATTCAATTTCATTTTTTATAAGGTGCGGTGTATTGTGCATTACGAGAGTAACATATAGTGAAGGTGAGACAACTTTGGATTACGTGGTGACTGTAGGCCGCAGTCATACTCTTAATTGGTCATCTCTCCCTCCGTGTTATTACTCGTATTTACCATCTATGTCCCTTGAATATTTCTCATTCTGACAGATCATCATATTGGTACCCTGGTACTGTGGTCTGCCCCGGGTCAAGAGTACCCAATCTTCTGCAATCTGACTGTAGGAGGACAAAGAGGGCCATAGTTCCTCTAGCTCGAACTTTAGTTGCTGAATTGGGACCTCAGCAGCAGTTCTCGTCACCAGTTGACACCTCGCACCCCTACACGTCAGTCAGAGATGATGATACATACAACGGTAGGGAATTAGCTTATTTTTTCAGAGCACAAAAGTTCGCTAATTCTGTAAGTATCATATTAAATTCAGTGGGAAAAACTTGCTTTATGTCCTATAGAGACTTGGCAAGGTATGCCTACATCCTTGGACTACCAATTTTACTTTTGAAGCATTTAACTGTTTCATTTGTTTTCGAAACTTTGTTTCATTTGTTAGTAGGATTTTCTTGCCCTTATTCTCTTACATGAGTACCGGGTACAAGATTTCCTGCGCCCTTGATTTAATTTAATCATTTAATATCTTTCACTTAACGTTAATTGTTAAAGATCACACAGGATAGGTACCAGTTGCCACGTTGTCCTGTTTCTGACATTTCACTATTGAATATTCGTGTACCTTTATTTGCTAATTTCACCATGTTTCGTCTCCAAACTTTCCGTGCAAATCCAGCAGGTGAAATAGGGACTTTAAGTCGTGCCAAGAGGACTGAATTACAAACTCTTGCACATGAGTATCAACTAGAAGTTCCCTACCAAGCCAACAAAAATGACCTACACAACCTGTTGCTGGATTACTATTTAGAGCAAGGTAAGATAGACTCTGAAACTCATGAAACTTACTATATTGCAGAGAAAACTGACTTGGCAACGATGAA